CCAGAAAATGCTCGGTGACATTGGCTCGCTAACCCGGAGGTCATGTGTACGATTCCGGTGTCCCTGGTAAGGGACAACGTATACTCTTTCGGATAGGACGAAAAACCAAAGTCCCGTGGACACATTGGCATGCACGTGAAAGAACCCTTGACAGTTGGAATTCGAAATGGCCGGGTAAATTTCAACCATAAGCCCACCTTCGTTAGGGGTAGACCAGTTCAACGTAAACCCCATTTCATTTTATTTTGTTACCTTGCATGCTACTTGTTGATCTTCATATTGTATGAAATAATTTTCTATGGGAATATTCTTCGATAAAGTAATCGATACCTTACATAAAGTCGCTCTTTAAATTAATCAGAATTTTGTTTAATACGACTTTTATAGTGATTTATATTACCGATAGTGTAGAAACTCGAAGGTAATAACTTGGCAGGATTGTCGTTAACACGTGAAAACAGTTAATTATTTTTTCTCAACTAAACCAGAAACTGTGAGATAAGGAACGAATTCTGCAATTACAGGATAAGAATTAAACAAACTATCGACCGCCCTATTAGTTTAGTCTAGGTTATCAAGGTGTTAATTAATCATATTAATCTGTGTATCAAAGAACCAATATCAGCCAATAAGGTCTTTAGATATTCATCCCATGTCCATGATAGCTTCTCACTGGATGATAATTCCATTGAAAGTGGTCATGTTGTGGAAGAAAATCGCCTCTTCGTGGTATACCGGAATTACAGCCGACATGTTTCCTGTTTGAGAAATGTTGTATTCACCCGGCGTTCCTTTCTTCAACATCTAATTATCTATCTTATCCCTTTTTCTAGACTGGTGTATTCCGATTGCCTGCTGACCGTTAACCATCATGTTAACTGTTAGTCTACGGTCTTGATTTAGATATTATAGGCAGTAATGGTACTATACAAGTCTAATTTGTAAAAGAGGTAAGCTTAAGTCATATTTTAATTATTCTGTTTCAGTTTATCACACTGTATGCATATATTATATTTAACAAACCGTCTACGTGTGTGTCGTGAATGAGACAGGATATGATTCATCCTATAGCAACATGTTTAGTCGAATTTTATCAGTATGTTATATTGATAAAGATGTATCCTGAATGGGACCGGACATGCTCCATTTAGTAGAATTCACGATATTGTACCAGTACCTTTGCATTTTAGGTCTTTTAAATAGTCACTTATTAATCACAGACGGTTCTGTAAACTTATGCCTGACATGTTCATTAATATTCTACACTGATAAGAAGTCGTGTCTTTATTTAGAATGGTCTAAAACTTGATTTAAGTTACGTCTTATTCAACAACTTGTACCTTTGCATTTAAACCATCACGTCGCAAAGTGGGTAAGACGCTGGCTCGCTAGCCTGGAGGTCGGGTGTTCGATCCCTGCATTGGCCGAGAAAGTTCATTCAGATTTTCCGGCGTGGTTCTCCCTTGTCAATGATGCAGGACGGAGAGGGCTGACAAGGAAAGCTGTCTAGTCCTTCGAATGGGACGAAAAACCGAGGTCCCGTGTATACATTGGCGTGCACGTAAAAGATCCCTTGGCAGTCGGAATTCGATATAAGAGTAGGCCGTAGTGCTGCTGTCCGGGCAAAATTTCCCTCACCTGTCCAACCTCGTGGGTTTTCTCCGGGTCCTCCGGTTTCCTCCCACAGCTAAAGACTCATACGCGCAAGCGAATTATTGAACCATGTGTTAGTCCCGAAATGACCTAGTTTGTGTCGAGTGGACGTTAAACCCCATTTCTCTCTTTCTCTCTCTCCTTGGTCTTCCTTTTTTGATACACTCAGCCTTTTACATTATAATGGAAATTTATGCTCATTGTGTTGTGGAATCAGAAAATTAACCGGTTATTGGACTGAACCGTGAGGAAATATGATCTTCCTCAATGGATGGGGATGAAGCTTTCATCATTATATTGTCGAGTTGTATTTTACTTTCTTCCTGAAATTCCTTGATTCTATTGAATATTTTAACCCAGGCGCAGACATTTTCATCAGAGCTGTCTTAGTAACAAAATTAGGTAATACGATGCAGACGTGTTCTGTTGAAGATTTCCCAATCGTCTGACCACCACTGCAGTAGTAAGGTCTTTGATAAATTTTTTCTTTTGCTCAATAATTAGTTTACCAAGCTCAACATCTGAATTGATCTTAGAATAAAACAGTTTTACGTTACAGTTAGAATGTGACATGTCAAAGCCGGCACAAAAACATGACCACATGAGAACGGTGAATCTAATGATTGGAAATGTCGGATGGACATAATATTATTTTCTCTGGTTTCGTAGTATATCTCAGAGAATGTAGACAGTTAACCAAATTAAAGAAACATTCTATTTTGGGAACTTTGGGAATATTTTAGCTTCTTATTTAAAGCGTTTGTTTGTGATATTTCAACGGACAATTTGTCGTTTTATGTTTAAATTCCAAAATTTGATACATTTAGTCATTTTAATTTAAGGAATGTGGTGTTGGACACCTTGTGAATAGTTTACGCCCTTGTTCAAAGTGCCGATAGGGACATCTATCTGGTAAATTTTTAAGGCATGCTATATGGAATGTGTTGTTGGCTTGGATACTTTGTGAATATTTTACGTCAAGTCTGGCTGCTAGGAATTACGTTGTGCAATAGTGTAAGAATGTGTGCTTGAAATAGGCTCCCTTTTATTCTATTAGTTTGTTGAACTCGACATAAAAAAAACAACCTTTGACTTCAAGCCAGTTTCTTCGTGATATTGCATACAAATTACATTAGAGTTCTTAGCTCGTTCAAGGTTAGTTTCCATTGATGTTGATATACGCGCAGTGGAGAATCACCGCCCTCCACCCCCTTTCTGTCAGCGGATTAAAGGAATAGGCCTACAAAAGAACAAATTACCAAAAATTTCAAAACTGATATGTCGTTTGTGCACCCGGGCCCAGTTTATCGAAATCTTAACTAAAGATAAAATCCAAATTTTAGTAGATTGTTCAATTTTGATTGACTAAACACTAAAATCAATCCAATATTATCCAATCAAATTATTAAAATCTGGATTTTATCTTAGTTAAAATTTCGTGAAACAGGCCCCAGGCGTATTGTCGTGTTGTTTGAGATTCTTCTTCTTCTTCTTCTGTGGGCTTTACATCCGCTTCCACCTAGGGTGATATCGCAGACAAGTGTAAACCAGGAGACTTGCCTGGGAAGCCAGCCAATCTCGTCTAGCATAGGGTAAAAATGGAACAGCGAGTATGAAAATTCACAACCTCTACGTTCTTGGTTAAAGGCACAGTTGTGCCTTTTGGGATACAGTGTCAAATGGTACTGTTAGTTTTTCATTCTAATGGTGGTCGTTTGAGATGAATGTATGCATTTATTATAAAGATTCTCAGCACAACAAAAGTCCATAATGCTCAATTGTCTGACAAAATATTTTTTTAAAAAGTAGATACATGACTATAATTATGTGTTATTGTTTTGTTACTTTCTCCGCTCGGCAGATGTTTTCTTAATAAACTGTACGTAAGATTTTCTGCGGATCATAATTTTTGAAAAAATGTTAAAAACTATTTCCTTCCATATACGTTATGTTACTCCCAAATTACCTGGTATTTCAAATGACGTTGGTTCTTTTTTTTTTGTTGGGGGGGGGGGGGGTGTCAAATAGTCTCAAGCGTGCGCTGTTATTGAATAAAGTGTAAAGTGGCGTCGTTTCGAGCCCACTCTTGTGAGTCGCCTTCCTAACCCCGTGTTGGGGATCACGGTGGCTAAGTGGGTAAGACGCTGGCTCGCTAGCCTGGAGGTCGGGTGTTCGATCCCTGCATTGGCCGAGAAAGTTCATCCAGATTTCCGGCGTGGTTCTCCCTTGTCAGTGATGCAGGATGGAGGGGCTGACAAGGAAAGCTGTCTAGTCGTTCGGATGGGACGAAAAACCGAGGTCCCGTGTACACATTGGCGTGCACGTAAATGATCCCTTGACAGTTGGAATTCGATATAAGAGTAGGCCGTAGTGCCGCTGTCCGGGCAAAATTTCCCTCATAGCACACTGTATGGCGTATGCCCGTCTTCATTAGCCCAGTTCGGAGCAAAACAGTAGGACGTTAAACCCCATTTCATTTCATTTCATTTTCCTAACCCTGTGAGTTTTCTCCGGACTGACGTAGTGTGTGTTTAGTGGACGTTATCCCACAACCCCTCCGCCCGCTCACACACACACTCTCTCTCTCTCTCTCTCTCTCGCTCTCTCTCATTATCTACAATGACATGTAACACTTCAAGATAATAACCTCTTTAACTACGTAATAAAGATGTTGTTTATGCAGAAGATCTCTATCTATAATAGAGGGTGCTTTTGGCTATTCTGTTTCATTTTTGGATACACCAATTTCTATCTTTCTGTAAAAGGCCGCTGGCTAATTTACTCGATAATTACCCTATGATACCGCAAGGTTTAAGCTCTGTCTATCTTTAGATGGATCTGTTTAATCTGAAGAAAGAGAAAAGGCCGTGCATGCATCAATTCTTATATATATAAGTTAGTGATAGCTGAGCTAGCGCTGGGTTATATTTAAGTATATAGAAAAAACGTTTATTCTATGTATGTTTTAATAATGTAGGCTTTATACCTACATAGATCTAGTATCGATTTTTTATTGTTTAATATTTAAAATACAAAGGTACATACTGTATTGTGTAAAAAGAATTCGTGTACAAGCTGAGACTACAGACAAGGTTATACTAACATAAGTATTTGGCCGTGATTATGTTATTCATTGATAATGTATGTATATTTTCTATATTTTATCTTTTGTTCTCATTTTCTTTTATTTTTTCATTGTGCATATTCTTTGGTTAAGATGCTAATGATCCACACTCCATTCTTCTAACAATACATTTATGATTATACATTATGCAACAAACGTGTCTTTTTGTTGGGTTTCCGTCTTCATTAACCCAGCCGGTAAAGAAAAGAAGGACGTTAAACATCATTTGTTTTGTGTTTGTTTGTTTTATAAGTCAGGGAGTAAATTTAATACTGAATCATAAGGATGACTAGTCTATACTGATATACATCTGATTTATGTAAATTGTGTGAATAACATATAGTGTGTACAGGATATTGATGGTTTTTATATACTGGTCATAATTATATAAACTATCGTGGGTTAATATTTTCTACTTTATTGATTTCTTTTTAAGTAACAGAGAGAAGTAGAGAGAGTTCCATTTCATTATTCAATATAACCTATTTAATTATATATCGTGAATATATTGAATAATAAATAGTTCAATTTTCGTATTAAAAATCAAGAGTCGAGTTAATAGATACGATGAAATTGAAGCCAAGTGTATATTTGTTTTGTTAAAAATCCGATTAAGACATAACTCGACCTGAAGGTAGGTGATAGATCTAAATCCGTATCTTTATGATGGTGGGCCGTTTATGATGACATATGGAGCTTTGTGAACGACAGCCGCTTTAAATCGTGATTTATGAACGTAACAAATGTTTGTTTTTTCTTTACAGGGTTTGTTTACACCCCGTGGAGTGTAGTGATGTTTATTTTTAGTGTAAGAAAACAACAAGTTCATGCCACAGTGTAAATTATCATATATATTTTCAACTTTTTTGCCAACAAGAAATAGTACAATTCAATCTCCACCCAGACTGGTGTATCTTTTCTTCAAAAAGTGAGTAAAATGACTTAAAAGAAAACCGAGAAAATATGCTGAACTATTGAACTCTGACCCTAAAGGTGAAAACGTATTGTTTCTAGAGATTTGTTATATTTTTATTCATTTGTGAAATCATAAACGAGATGATGCGTCAACATTTACATAAAAGTTACGATCCGAAACGGCGGCTGAGTTTAATGATACCATCTGAATCTCAATTACCAGATTTATCCAGACGTCGTTCAATTAACGAGAATTCATTTCTCCTGCCTCCGAGTATTTCTACACGGAGCAGTTCCTCTGGGGATCTTTCTCCGAAGATTATTCAAGAGGAGAGAAAGGATCGAAGTGAGTACAAATTCGGTGACCATCATAGACTTTCTTTGCCTGCTTTTAGCAGTGATACACAAAAACTGTCATTAAGTCCAACTGACGGTAGGCCTTCGTCTGCCACTAGAAGGCGCTCTTCCATTTATGGCGGCGATTTGTCAAGATTAGGACTGGATAATGAATCGGATAAAAACAATGTTCGAAATTTTGTATCGGCGGTTGTGGTTGTAATATCCCTCGTTGTCGCGTTTTCCTTTTATCAGTTGGTGTATTCTTAACTGTAATCCTTGTATTAGTGGATAAAAATGTGCTCGTAAAATGGTGGTTTATGTTTTGTTTTGTTTTGAAGCTCCATGTCCAGTACACTATAATGTGAAAGTTTGATCCGTTCAATTTAGAGACGTGGACAACCATTCCAGGATACTTTATTTCAATTTTGCAGCCATTATGCTATTTAACGAGGATTGGACGCTAACACAATACACCTCTACCACAATGAACTATTTTCGGTCAAGAAAATTTATTGTTCGTTTTTTTAGTTTTCATCGAAAAGCGGGTCATTGACAAGCTTGTCATTAGAACCAGTGTAAACATTAACTCTCTTACAATTAACATTTTAAAAAGGGGTGACTTGACAACAAACAAGAGTGAACACATATTTATCGAATAAAATGAATAAATCTACAAACTGACTTTAATAAATATATGGGTTCCATAGGATGCACTTCAGCGTCTATCATGCCAGATGGATGTATCAAGTTTCAAAATAATTCTGAAATTTGCTTTAAAACGTGTTAAGATCAAGGGAAATAACCATGTACTTAAATAATCACAATATATAGTCAGAAGGGATTATATCTATTCTAGTAACTTTTCTCCAAAGCAGAGTATATAAACGGGAATGAACAGGATAGTCTGTAAATAACCGCTACTATTCAATGTGGTTAATCGGTATTATATTGTGATTAAACCTACTCAGTTTTAAAATAAATCATCAATAAAAGAATTGTTATCTTCTAATTCGTTTGTCAACAACATAGAACCTGTACAATTTCAACACCCACTAAAGCGGCATGTTACATAAAAGATGGTTATTACAATCTAATTATAGATGCCTTATATAGGAGCTGAATCTGCTTATTGCAGGTCTTACTTTCTTTCTTTCAAATGTTATATAAACTATTTTTTATAGGACAAGCCTATAATCATCTATCTAGGCTTTCGGATTGCGGAGATTTAAACGGATGAAAAAACAGGTTCGTCATTTAATAATTTAATCTAAAAATGGCGAACCAAGGGTTACTCTCAGTTAACAAGTACCGTTGCTACGATAATAAAAAATCTAGGCCACATCTTGTCAAAACATCAAACAGTGATAACCCCGCTCAGAATAAAGTAATTTGAATGAAATGTTCAATATATTCATTTTACATTATCTATTTTTGAACTATTATATAAAGAACGGACAGCTCTTTATCAACATCTTAATTAATGCATCTTTGAACAAACCCAACCTTAACATCTGTATGGCTTGACTCATTTAATCTAAGAATCATTATTTTTAAAAGCTATAGAAAATTAAATTGGCTCGCGTAAAATCAGCAGAAAGTTCTTTATGACCTAAGTTACCGAACTGATGGATTCATATAATGTTTGGACCAACGCCTTTTGGATCAGAATGCTTTTGATTGTGGTTGACCCTTTGTACTTAATTGTTGTTACCTCTTTCCATTTTAGTTCTATTTCTTGAAATGCATTTCGTAGATTGCTTTTAAAATTATAAATGAATTTCATCTTATAAGGAAATCTTGCCGCTTTTAGAAAGAAGTTCTCAAAATGGCGTCGCTCGAAGGTGTGTAGAGTGTTCATTGCAAATTGTCCATTGTTTAAAGAAAAACAAACAAACAATAAAACACTTTTCACAAGCGCCTTTATGGGCCCTGTCATTTTTAATCCGGGAACTTGAAAGTAGTTCCAGTGGCGGAATTCGCCATACAACCGAGGTTAAATGTAGGGTACCGGAGTCTGCCAGGATCACGGTGGCTAAGTGGGTAAGGCGCTGGCTCGCTAGCGTGGAGGTCGGGTGTTCGATCCCTGCATTGGCCGAGAAAGTTCATCCAGCTTTTCCAGCTTGGTTCCCCCTTGTCAGTGATGCAGGACGGAGGGCTTGACAAGGACAGCTGTTTAGTCGAGGTCCCGTGTACACATTGACGTGCACGTAAAAGATCCATTGAAAGTTGGAATTCGATATAAGAGCAACATTGTATGGCCTATGTCCGTCTTCATTACCCCAGTTCGGAGTAGAATAGTAGGACGTTAAACCCCATTTCATTTCATTTCATTTCCGGAGTCTGCAGGCTTTGCCGAGTACGGGTTATACGTGCATTACTGGCAGATGATGGGCTGATAAAATAGTTTTTAAAAATGCATCCTTTCTTAACCGAAATTGTTAAATCCCTTGATATGGCCCACGTGTTTCGATTTATAACTATGAAGTCGATGGGGATTTATCTTGAAATCGATGATGCAATTCGGTATTAACCTCTCGTGTACGCTGGCCTTTGGGCTCTATATATGAGATTCATGTTGGAATATTTATTCTTCCTCTGACATGATCACTTCAGAATCGCCACGGTATCTCATAAAAATCTCATAAAATGGTCGTATACTTGTAGATTGATGGTTCTATAACGCTAGAGAATCTATTAATATTTGGAAATATACGGTATACAGAGTACAAAATGAAGGAAGTATGTATAGATACGGGGTTATGATTAAAGCGCTCAATAACAAAATCGATTCTGTGAGAGAAGATAAATACCCCCACTTAAAGCTGGGTCGTTGATGTGGAGTAAATTACCATCACGGTCAGTGCTGATAAATACACCTAGCTTCTCGTCGTTGATATAATTAACAGCGAATAGTCAGACTCAGTTACCTATAGAACAATGTATTACTGTCTACTACAACAAGCAGGAGTGTGCGAGGGTCCCTATTCATGAAAATTAAAAAAAAAATAAGAATACGGACTTGTCATAGACTATGAGCTAAAATTTGATTTTATACATCAACAAATTTAAAATCCCCATCCTTAAAAGGGCCCAGAAACCAAGCAGGACGTACATCATCGGGTCCATCTTGGAATGTGATGTCATACCTAGCATCAATGCACAATTGCCCAAGAAACAAACATGTCAAGTTTCATGTCGATCCTATTTGAATTACCGGAGCCTTAGCACCAACAAGAAGAAAAAGTACAAGACGAGTAGCACTTGGGGACTTGTACATGGTCCGATTGATTCAAGTATTTCCAACTAATGTTTACATATTGGGGGTTGAGGTCACGGGTTCGCTCCAGGTTTTGGCCGAGAAGGTTCATCAAGATTTTTCGGCGTGGTTTCCCCTTGTCAGTAGTGCAGGATGGGACTAAAAACCCAGATCCCGTGTACACATTGGCATACACGTAAAAGATACCTTGGCAGTTGGAATTCGATATAAGAGTAGGCCGCAGCGCCGCTGTCCGGGTACAATCTCACTCATAGCACACTGCATGGAGTATGCCTGTCTTCATTAGCCCAGTCGGAGCAAAACAGTAGGACGTTAAATCGGATTTCATTTCATTTTAACATATTAGAAGCCATATTATCAATGAAGACTAGCATTACACAACTGTTTAAAGTATGCTTAATTATTTGGAATACGCCAGTGTGATATAAGGGAAATTATTCCCGGATAGCGGCCCCAGTCTTATATCGAATTTCAACTGAATATACACTGTCCCTTGCCAGGCCCTTCGTTCTGCACGACCGAAAAGGGGGAACCACGCCGGAAAACATCGATGAACACAAGAAATCTAACACGGGACCTCCAGGTCAGCAAGCCAACGTTGAGGTCCCGCGTTCAAGCCCTGTAGACAACAGTGGACAAGAAAGCTGCCGCGGGAATATTAAGACTGATATAATTCTAGCACAATACAATACAAAATCCATTGGAAGAGTTCGTGTAGCAGAAAATGGGCTGGGCCCATGACAATAATCCAATAAGAAAAGAGTGGCACCATTATTTGAAATCTAACCGCAGAGCGTATGATTTTAACTTGAGTCCTACCTTTAACCAACTGGGTTAATGCAAACGAGCAATGTACGTTGATGGATATTTTGCCCATGGATAGCGATATTCCAACTGTCAATGGATCTTTTACGTGCACGCCCACGTGTACACGGAACCTCGGTTTTTCGTATAACCCTTACTAGGCTCTACGTCCCGAGGAATAGCACAATTTTAATTCAGTAATTCGTTTGCGTGTAGGTAGGAGTCTTTAGCAGTGGAGCAGGAGGGCCCGAAAAAGTCCAAGAGGTTGGGTAGACGACCCTATAGCATATCACGTACAAGCTCGGGATTGAAACTAAACGAAAAACTAAACGAAAAACCTTATGATATAAAGCACACGCGTCACATCACTCGATAACCTAGCCCACTTCCTGATTTATGAACAAGCGTATTAGTCTCTGAGACATCAAGGCCCCCTCATATAAATAACAGTTGTAGATAACACTATTGTCTATTGTTCAATTCTCTTTCTTGCCACAGACATGTAGACTATTAAGAAATTGGAATCGGGTTACCGACTGAAATAAGTTCAGGATAAGAAAAACATTATTAATATTTGTCAACTCACTCGTTCATCATTTGTTTTCATCTTAGATTTGTTAAAAGTTTCAATTTCGCGAACAAATGTTTTGACCCGGTTTTCTAAAAGTTTATTTGTTATCAGAACACTGGTAAGTTTTGTTTTGTGAATGTCTTGAAAACCGGATATTGACGGCTGTTCGACCATAAATTGTCCTAAGCGATTAGCTTCTTCAAGTTGACGCCGTGATCGTAATTTCCGTGGAATGTATGTATAAGAGTAATTGCGTTGTCTTTCCGGTTCCTTTATTTCCATGTCCGCCTCTTCTCTATTTTTATTATTTTGTCTCCTTGGTAGAAGGGAAATTCGTAATGGTACTGACGTCATATCCCGTATATCATACCGACTTAAAGATGCGGTCGTAGGTAGCATATAACCCTTTCTGCGATTGATTGTCTTATCACCTTTTGACGAATCAGTCTGACCATTAATTGTTTTAGGCCGAGTTTTACCCCCCTTTTCATTTGGAGGTTTATAATGTTGAAGGGACGCAGTTGTTGCACGGTGTTTGCAGCAACGATAAGCAGAATGTTTCCTGTTTTTGTACAAGGATTCGTCACTTCCTGAGTTTGAGCATGGCGGCAAGAAAAACTCCTGATGTTTTTCACGCATGTTACTTATTAATCTATCGCTGTAATGCGGATGATTCTGTGCGTTTACTAAAGATTGTACTCCTCGTTGTTCTGCTTTGATTTGCTCCAGGTTCTGAGATGTAATCTTTTTGCAGACTTTCTGGATCGTGGTTAATTCTGTACGTAAGTTATTTTGTAACCCGTTATTGTTGTTGGTGGCTTTATTGTACAAATCAAAGCACAGAGGCCTTTGAAATCTATTTTCAATTTTCTCCAATCTAAAAGTGTTCATGGTCTCTAAAAACGCGGTGCCAAAAACGGAAAGCTTCTAATCATTATTTCAATAGAATCACAGTGTTTGTAACCCGTAGGCATTGACTTGTGATAAACAAGTATGGCGACGACAGATCTGAAAGCAAACAAAATCTGTATTTACACACTATTATTCTGTGACCCCCGGCTAACAAAACTGTTTTTGCAGATGTCGATAACGACACTGGAAAAAATGAAATATTTGATATTACAGATATAACAGAATGCGACACAAATTTCACCTTATTAATTTTGATTGTATGACATGATAAAAGAATGTTATATTTGGAAGATATATAAATAATTAAATACGTCAGGTTTGACATCAGTAAATCTTCAGACATTATTGTTTTTAGAGCTGAACAAAATGGCGCAGCCCAACAAGGTTGTCGTTTTGAAAATCACGTTAAGATAACAGATACGAGAACGTTA